ATACATATATGTATATATATATATATTTTATATATATAGATACATTTTTATATATTTATATATATGAATATATATATATATATATATATATATATATGAATGCATGTATATATATATGTATATCATAAATATAAAGTATTCGTCAATCTTGCAGCGTAACTTATGCGCAATTTAGTTTTAAAGTTTATAACATGATATGCTCGCCTTGTTTTGTCTGTGCTAAATTTTTTTTGCATACTCGATTACAGGTGTTTCTAAACTCTGTGCGTTATGCGCTGACTATATCAGCAAGTTGAAGATATTCGCCGGACTGATTGCGGTAAGTTTTAGCTTTGCACCGAACCCTTCAACACTATCGATGGATAAGAACTCTTTGTCCGTGATTTCTAAGGTTGCGTCCGGATCGAACTGAGCCGCTCCATCTGCCTCCTCTACCTCCTCATCACTACCTGCCTCGCTATGCTCGTCATCGTTCATATACAATGTACTTAATTGACCCTCACTATAATTGTCCACTAAGCTGAGGGACAGAGCAAGCGCTGGTGTCATTGCTCCAGGCATATTAACTAACTACATACACTAAAATAAAGTGTGTGAACGTGACTACACACGTTCATGTATAAATTTACGCGTGTATGTTGTATTAAATGAACACTGAAAATATACTATGCCAGTCGGTACAATAACAACGTGGATTTTTGATGATGTCAGAACGAATCTAGGATTTGACCATTCAGTAACAAGCTTGAATGCACACCTAATAATAAACATCCACTTGAAAATAAACTTGGCGACAGTCTATTTTAGTATGGGCCACTGTATGATAAGCTTGGTGTATCCAGGGATTCCTGGCAAATTCGAGATATTCATTTGTTTTCTGTTCGGGGTTTTTTTTACATCTCGAAAATTGAGGTTCGGTAAGATCTAAAAATATTTTATGAAAACAATCGACCGAGCTCAGCTCATAAATACCGACCCGCGGCTCGGGTAGTAAATATGTTTCACAGTTATTTATATTTTTTGGAAATTGGAGAAGTGAAAAGTGACTCTCGGACAGGGCCAGGGATGTTTTAAAGTGGACAGAAAAAAATCCTGTCCGGACGTCCGTTCAGATTTACAGACGATTGGACTGAGCGTTTTTTTTGGACAATTAGATACAAATGTCGGAAACCTAATATTTCTAACCCCTACATATACATGCAACATTCTAATTTCTATTCTATGGGACTTTTATTTTATTGGTTTGCAGTTTCAATATATTTATAACGAAATTATCAAATTAATCCCGTCAAAATAGAATCATATCATTTCTAAACCCAATTTTTTTTTCGTGTTGGACAAATAGACGGACATTTCGACGATGGAGGTCCATGGACAATTCAATAATTTTTATAGGACAATTGGACAAACAAATTTCAGGGCTCCGAACGTCTGGAGCCTCTGGACAAGCACCTTTTTTTTTTGGACTGTCCGGAGCTAATTGTCCAGTTAACATCCCTGATCTCGGGAGACTGGGAGAGTGTTCACTAAACGAGTCCGTCAACTTTTGAGCTTTACCATAGCCGACTGATAGTCTGATTGTTATATTGGTACTTGTGGCTACAAACCGTTTTCTGTTAAAACCTTTATAAATCGAATAAATATACGTTTTATGTTCAACATTTTTTTCATATGCGGTCCTTTGTATGCTCATAGGTGCAACTTGTGGGTCTAAGCATTCAAGTGTATATCATGTCCACGATACGAGCCAGTCTTATAAAAGAACTTAGGTAGGCCTTTCTGATCACATTATAACCGCTATAACGTTTTAAAATTGTACAAATATGCGTTTACGTTCAACTTCTATCCCGTAACCTCATAACGTTATGAGCATAGCTGTTGACTATGTATGTATGACTTTTAAAAAATAGTTAAATACCTTTAACCTTCCTCTAAAACATTTTGGCTTTTTTATCACTTTTTATAGTGAATATTTTTACTCTGCACACTTTGTTATATTATAAAAAAAAAGCATATCAAATTTTACAAAAACAAATCATAGCCGCACATTCACACAGAGAGCTAAATACACACAGTAAATAAATACTAAATAGTAAAGTGTGCTTTTTAGAAACAAACAAATAAATAAAAATACAATGCACACTGACTAACTACCTGCGTGTGGCTATGCAGAAATACGTATTTACATCGAGTCCTTGACCAGTCCATAGCGTGCTGGTATTTACATAAGGCGTTGATATATATAAATACCTGTGTTGTGCGTATTCATAAATACATACGTTTTATGCAGTTGTTCAACTCACTTCTCCACAAGACGTAGAAAGTAACTAAATACGTAGGAAAGAAACCTCTGAACACTATTGATATGTCTTTGCTATATCGAGCTGGTGCCTTGATCCGACCAGCCACCCGCTTGCATGCAGGGGCCTTTCCAGCGTTGCGTAGGTATAGTCAAGCGCATTTAAGATATACATATATGTGACCGGACACCAGTAAGAATGTTAACGCGTGTTCGCGTATATATGTATGTGGATGTAGTACAGTAACACTGTATATATGTATATACGTTCATGTTCATTTATTTATATACACGTGCACAGGTCACACTGATACATCCACAAAATACTATATGTATATATGG